CCTAATTCTTCTTCTCATTTGTCACCTCCTACCCCTCAAGCAAAAAAAGGGCTTGCCTAAAATTAAAGGGATCTGCTGGTGCAGCTATATGGGTAAACCTCTTCAGTAAATACAAGTTTAAGCTCCTACAGCTTATATCGGATCACCAAATGAAACAAATGACAGCAACAGACTTTCCCATTGATATAACTGAATTTGCACTAATGTTTTTACAGGCACAGCTATATACACTAAGAGCAGGGGAGTATTTGTCATGTACCTAACCCAGTAACACTTCTAAAACTAGAAAGTATGTAATAAGTATGTTAGCCAAACCCCATTTTCTACAATCAATACAGCCACATGCACTCTACTGGCTTTCACCAGCACAAGCATATGGGTTAGATGCTACATCCCATCCTTTCCATCAGTGGATAAAAAGGAACTGCTGAGCAAGGCAACCACCACTGATGGGCTCAGTATTCATGAGGATGTATATTATAAATCTAAACTGAGCACTTCTCAGTACTTGTATAAGGACTGAGTACCAGAAAAGAAGTTTTACTTCTGCAAAAAAACAGCAAGTGAAAAGCAAAAAAAGCCCACATCTTCTTGCATTTTTTGCTATTACTGGAACAGATAACCAACTTGCGTAAATCAGCCTAAAGCTTTGCATATACAGAAATACTAGAAACAGCATTTCTTTGTTCTTGTAAGGCATTCTAATCCTGATCTCAGAATATACTAAGCTCAAATTAGGCAGAACTTTTGTTTCATTGAAGTTCATTTTTATTCTCCACATTTTTGTTAGAGAGCCTTATAGGTGCAAGAACAGAAACACTGAGATTCTCCTACGAGGAATATTTCTGTTAGACCGACAGCCCATTAGCCCAAAATGCTAGGAGGTGCTGTAATCAGTGCTATCTGTAGTCAGTGCTACATACGTCAGAGCAAGATGAAATCATTGATCCGTCTGTCAATAGGGGAGAGATCTTCCTAATCCCCTCAGTATAATATGTCTATTCTGAAATCTTATAATCTCTTGATTTTATGTAGTGTAACTGTGGACATTCTTATTATGGATTCTTAATCCTCTCAAAGATTATAAACTTCTGCCCTCGGTGACATTACTGTGGCATTGAGCTCCTCATGCTCGCTGTGTTCTGCAAAGAAGCATTTCCATTGAGGTTTTTTATGTGCATCTCATATTCACTACAGGACCTGTGCCACATTATTGTGAGAACAGGGCTCTCCTGTTTATCCTTTCTCTGCGCTGTTCTTCACATTATTTTTAGGCTCATCTACAGGAGGGCAGTCAGGAAAGTTGATCTGAAGTAAATAAATGTTTTAACTAAATTTTAATGGATTAATTTATCTACAATGTTAAAATGGATAAATTATACCACATTAAGTCCCTGTATGGGATTCACATTCAGAATGAAAATTATCTTAATACAATTTACCTCACTTTGCTTCCAAAGTAAATGGAGATAAAGCAAATGAAAGCCACTTATATTTTGAATAAAAGTATTTACACAGTGATTCAGTGTAATTCAACTCAGCCTTTTAAATTCCCATATTTTGTCACTTCATTATTTTTCCCTGAGTGTTCCTATGTAAACAAGTGTTCAAATCTTTTTAAATCTCCTATCTCGCTAACAATTTCCATCCTTAACATCCACTCATTTTGCTCTTACGTGGATCCTTTTTATTTTACTGTATCTTTTGGGGTTGGTATAATCAGGATGAAATAACTGCCATGATTAAGAATGTTTCTACATTAAAGACCATCACAGAATCACAGAACAGGTGAGGTTGGAAGGGACCACAGTGGGTTATCTGGTCCAACCTCTCTGCTCACACAGGATCGTCCATGAGCACATTGCACAGGATTAAGTCCAGACAGTTCTGGAATATCTCCAATGATGGAACTCCACAACCTCTCTGAGCAATCTGTTACAGTGCATGGTCACTGCACAGTAAAGAAGTTATTTCTCATGTTCAGGTGAAACTTGCTGGTCATCACTGCAATAATTTTTGTACACTCATGTATCTTGCTATTTAACATAAAAATCAGGCAAGACATTAATCAACTCTGTGTGGATGAAACATCTCAATTTTGAAATTGTCACAATAGCCACTTCGAGTCTTTTACTTCAAAAGCTCCCATTAACATGTTACCTGGTAGAAGTAGCAAGAATTACTTATCCTAAGAAATACAAGAGTAATCCATTTTTCCACTGTACTATGTCTGCTAAAACCAGCAAATTCAGGAGTGAATACTTACTTCCTAACAAGCTGCTTAACAGAGCAGTGGCATTCTGATGGACACAGAGCAGATGACTCTCTGGGCAGATGACACCAGTGAGTGTTGGAAAGAAAAGCAAGAGCAGCCAGCGAGGCAGAATAGGCAAGTTGTCACACTCGATGTTTCTGCCTGTTAAATCTGAATGCACCTAATTAGTTACCTCCTCTGCTAACACCTCCAACACCATCAGGATTCTAAGAACACGTACCCTACAGGAATGCCCGTAGATAGACTTGTAAACTTTTTTGTAGTGTCTAGGGCCCTGGTCTGCAGGGAAACCTTCTGGGGTACATGTATGCATTTGTGTGCACATAAAGATCATCACTTGCTGCCTCTGGTTAAAGGTCAGGCCCACTCACATCTGTATTACAAGCATTTGTTAATGACCTAAGTACTGGCAACCACTACCTCACCAGGATTTGGTACCTTTCCAAAATTAAGGCCATTTTGTTTCAATTTTAAATTTACTCTCCTTTTAACCTCACAGTTGAAGTCTTCTCTACCAGAACCCTACCCAAAGGGATCCAAGTGACAACCATTCTCAGACCAGCAGATAGCTCAAGATAATACTCTGCTGCATTCACAATATCTAGGCTCTGTTAAGCTTGGAAAGAGATTTAAATTGGATTTTATTTCAGAATAGTATTATAAGACACTTCATCTACTGGCAAACAGGCATATCAACCTTTTTTCCCCTAAGAACAGATACTCACACCACATTTTTGAAACTCAGCTGCTTGGTAGGAAACAACCCATGTTTTCTAGAATCTTTAAAGGGAACTTGGCTAGGAAACAAATTAGAATTGAGCTAGGACTAACCAGGGTAAGGGTTGCTTATATCTGCAGATTACCCCTCTCTGCTTTTCTAATTCACTCACCATGCCTTATCTTTCCATTAATCTTTAATAAACCTTTTAGTTAATTCCCCAAACACACACAATCTACATGACAGCAGGATACAGTGCAAAAGCAGTCCATGGATATGAGGAAATAGGCAGCAGAGGAATCAAAACTCTGCTGAGTTTTGATCAAAACAAAAGAGGGGAAACTTTTAGGATTAAAAATACCCAAACTGCAAGTCAGTGGAAAATGATGAGCAATCAGGAGAAAGAAGCAGTAAGGAGAAAGCAAGGAGGAGGAAGGGAGCTGTTTAGTGTACTAGTATTTATCTGGCTGTTGGATTCGTTTTCTCAATGGGGCCCTCCTCTCTTTTCCACTCTGGTTCCACTTTGACATAAACAGACAATCTGATTTCAAATGTGGGGCCTCTGAAATGTGGAAAACCCTCTCCATGCTGACAACAAGATATAGCTAGATTAAAAGGTAAATGTAATTTAACCCACTCCAGCAGAAACGGTAATCAAATTATATTGCCTCTAAATATGATAAGTTTGGGACTGGGGCCCTCAGGGGAAGAGAAGGTGTCTTGCAAACACAAACACAAAGAAACATGTCAAAGGGAACTGCTAAATCAATGTATGAGTTGTGACTTCAACCCTCCCTCCCTCCCCCAGGGTGCTTGATAAGCTGCTGATTGCTTCTGAAATATCTACTACCAATGTTAGGAACTGATTAAGCAGCTTACAAAGCACTGGGGGCTAATAGACAGGCCCACCAGGGAGACTGCAGCTCTGGAGTTAAGTAGCTTTTTTTTCATGGCTTGATTATTAAAGATGAGATAGCAGAACATGCTGAAAAGATGTGGAAACAGTTTTAGACCTCAGGCGACCGCCTTTTTATTTTATATATGGCATCATTTCTACTCTGTGACTTCACCAGCCAACAAAAGCCATGTTTCCTGTTGTTCTGTAGTCTCCACCTCCGAGGGGCATGTGAACTACTTTGAATTAATGTGTCAGCTGAATGTCCAGAACTATGCTACCCTTATCCTGCAGAAAAGGCACCACTAGAGAAGGGGAAAGAAGGTGAAATAAGCTTAAAATACTGTGTTCTACATGTCACTGGCAATAGCAATAGGGTGTGAACACAGATGTCCCCAGGTCAGCTAGCACATCTCACTTCATTGCTTCCTCCACCGTGCATCTGAGCAGGGCAGCATATTCACCTTAAGATTCCCTATCCTCTGCTTTCAGCTCTTTTTTCCAAATTCGTCTTGTTTAATCTGTTACATAATAAAATTCTGCCATTCAGATGTACTGCAAGGTCCTTGCTTAGTTCAATCAATATCAGTGCAAAGATACATTTTGCTGGCACATTACCTCTTCCTTGGTCACATCTGTCATGGTAATGCTGCATGGCTCAACTTTGTGTAGGAGGCTTGCTGAGGTTTTTGAGGTTCTTGAGGGGGATGTTGGTTCCCCCCCCTCTTGTGGCAACGTCCAGCACACTTCGTAAATAATCATGCTGCACTTGGGACTGTACTAATTCATAAATTCCTGAATAAATACTCTTTCAAGAAAGAAATAAATAGCACTTGTCACCTGCAGGCTGAGACTTAGATGAGAATTCATTGATCAGATGAAAATTTCTCAGAGCAAAGCTCTCTTTGCAGAATACAGTTTTCTTTCAGAGTCTCTTCCCATTCCCATTTGAACACCGATGCTCTAGACTTTCTTTCTTTCATCCCTAACCAATGCCCTTGTTAACCCATTTTTACACTAAATTATAAACCACAGAGACGACTTGGAAGTACAGCTATTTATGCTCTGATTATCTAGAAGAGGAATGTACAATTAGCACTGAAGACACTTACCTGCTGAAGGTCTGCAAGAGAGTAAAGATGGATTTGCTGGAGAAGATACTCTCTGGGAAAGATCCTGGAAAACAGAAAAATGGATATGTGTCACACCTTTTTGTCTGGGAAACTTGAAAAGTTTCCTCTCCCCACCAAATAGCTGCAGAACAATGATGCTTGCAGAACAGAGAGCTTGTCAGAAACTGGAATTATGTCACCCTTTAAGCACCAGCTACCATTACAGCATTCCACACGGGCACAACAGTTCCACAATAAGAATGAATGCTGTACCAGTGCCATTCTCCAACTCTCAGGTTGTGTACAGTGACCTTTAGAGCCACTGAAAGCTCTTCCTCAGCACAGATGGTGTTTCTTTAAACAATTAACCCAGTAATAAAAACAAATAACTCATTTAAGGTACTGAAAGTATTAATTAAAACTATTTCTTATGTGTTTTAGTACAAGATTCCTGGTCTGATACAAAGCTGTAACAGATAGTTTCATACATGATTTATGGCTTTGTAACTGAAATAACTATATTGGGAAAAAGGTTATGCAGATACTGTTCTTGCAATGTGAAGATGATTGATATCGATTACCTTTCGCATACAGAAATATATGTATTGGTATAATCTTTGCAATGACTGTTTTGAGACAGCACTATTTACCTTAAAATAAGCCAAGGTTTTAGGCAAGACCATTGCTTATGCACTGACAGACCTGTTCAGTAAAGCTAAATTACAGAAACCTGAACAGGGAAGAGATGCCCTAATGAGAGTGACTGGCACTAAAATGAAAAACTGGGTTAAAGTAACACCACAGAATAAAAAAAGGACATTGTAAAGGCAAGTGGATATCAGCTAAAAAAGTTTATGAAAACCTACGTATCTGCCATAAAGATGTCAGGAAGAGAAGAAGTACATCTAATTAAAACATCTATCTTTGTATGCACACACAGAGAAACAACCACCTGACCAGCTTTTATTTTTCCATCCACACAGAGCAAATAGACCTCACTAAGGTATCTTGGGGAGTGGAGAGTCACACCACTCTTGCAAAAAAAGCAACCAAGTATCTCAAGAGGTGAAACTATGTCACACTACATATGTCTCTCTCTTAGGGCAGAAATTGTAACTCTGTTCCTACATAACAATCAGGTAGTTGTAAGACAATACAGAAATGAAACTCTTGATATTATTAAATGCATGAATAAAGCTCTGGAAAAGACTGGTTTGTAATGGTAGAACTGAACGGCAGAGAACAGAGACCACTGGACATGTTAAAAAAAAACCCCAAAAAATATTGAAAGGCCAATATGAACTTACATGATCACGACATGAGACCAATGAGAAAGCACACAGCAAACTCACAGAAGATATTTTAGAAGCTGCAACAACATAATCTGCTGAAACATTGATCAACTGGGCTAAGACTATCAGCTGCAATGTTTCCACAGAACACTGAATCTAAGAAATACTGAAAACACCTCAGTTCCTTGTACTCCACTAGAGTTGTCTTAAGCAACTACCTTACACTGACGCTTTCAAAGCTGTCTTGAAGGGCCTAGGACTTCTCATTGCTGTTAAGGTGAGCGGTACAAAGTCTCCTAAGTCCTTTTGTACTTTTGAAAAAAAAAATAAATTAAGCTTTATTGGAGCGTAAGGAGAAAAGTTCTGCAAGCAAGGCACTGACAACAGAGCACTGCCCATCTTAGGCACTCTTCTGGAGCTGGATTGTGCCCTTGCTCCTTCTCCAAGCGAATTCACTCTGCCCACCTAACTCTCAGCTGCAGTCTCCCTGGGATACTGCCATTTTCCCCTTTCAGCTCTGTAGGTGATCCCCATTGCTCCTTTTAGAGATGAATGTGTTTCAGTGGCTCTGCTGCATCACACCTTCGTAATACATTTGGCACAATGTCAAAGACCACTCAAAACCAGTCAAAATCCAGACACAGACAACATACGACATTGGGATTCCTCATTTGCACATAGCAGATTTTTTAAAACTGATTGCTAATGAGTCAACTCTGAACAGCATTTAGAAGCATAAATATTTTTTCAGCTCAGATAGAATTTCTTTCATTAAAATTTCCCCATCATTCTCCCCTGATCACACAGACAGGCACTAAGCAGTGCAGTAGCTTTGCCAGGAACTGCATTATTTGCTGGTGCCCTTACAGCACTGCTAAGGAAAACAATTAGCTAATGAAAGATTTCCTTTTTCAGGAAATTGCCTGAATAGCCCATAAACCAGAAACTGTCAGCGACTTAGTATCGATGACTAACATCACATTCCCCTGCCTTCAAGGACAGCATTTTATTTCCTGCAAGTTCTAGCTCCTAATAAAAAGTGTGCAGATGAAAAGCAAACTCATGAATTCCTTTGTGAGTCTCAGCCGGCACAGGTCCTGGTGACAAACATCCTATCCCTGTACCTGTCCCCCTCCCTAAGACATGTTAGTTTGCAGCAATAGCTCTGCCGAGCAGGAATCCAACACACCTCCTCCTTTCCAAATCTATTTCCAGGAAAAGAAGTAGGTACTGCCCTCCCAGTCTTATGCAAGACACATTATGTACACACACATACTCAGCACTCAAGTGAGAAGAGTGATTATTTCAATTGCTATGGAAACTGAGGCATAAAAAAACCCTCAGTGAGTAAGACTGGTCCAGCTTCAAATTCGCAGTTCTTCTATTGGTTCGAAAAATTAAAACTGGTTGTGGTGGGCCACAGAGAAACAGCTGAGCAGCCAAAGCTCACAAATGCAACAGTATTTACAAAACTTCTTATGAAGCAACCAGACCAGTTCCTGTACAATTCCCAATACATGTAGCAGTGCAAACCACACCTTCAACACTTGCCCACATCACCAGAGGTGGAAACAAACAGCCCCATGACTGTGAAATTGCCTAGATGGAGGAAGCTCAGCCCCCAACCATATAAATTGTCTTCACCACACCTATCGTGAGCTGAGCAACTGCTTAAAAAACACATCTTCCTATGCTGCATGTCTGCAACTAAGATCTCATCCAGAAAGTTTCCATTAGTCCCATTTGGAAGGAAAAACCAAAACTCAAGAGCTACCTGAACATAACTGGTGAAGCCACCTCCCAAAACCTCATCTATTCATTGCCAGTTTTTGTCAGCCTCTAGTGAGTGGGTAACAAGAATATAACAGACACCAAAATATCCAACTTGAACACATTTTCAAAAAAAATGCATCATAAAATGCAAGCAAATCAGTTGGAGTAGGACATCCGCACAGACCAAGTAGTCCAGTGAGCAAGAAAATGCCTGATGGCCCATTTCCAACGTCTTGCTTGCCTGCACAGGTTCTTTGAGCCTAATGAGGTCATGGCTTATATAAAGCCTTTTCCAGTAGCAGGCACGCAGGACTAATTCAGAGACTCTTGCTTCTCAACCCACACACCTCCTCTCATGTAGAAAAGTAGTGTCTCTGCCCTCTCCAACCCTCTGTCAGCTGCAACTGAAATAGGCCAGAGAAAACCAAAGTTGGAAACAGCAGGTGAGATGAGGCTCACATAAACACCATGCCATTGCATTACTGTCCAGGCAAAGTACTACAAGGCATCCAGATCAACCTAAAATCACACTCATTTCAAAAATGAAAAGACTACAGAGCAAGCTAAGATAACTACACTTAGAAACACTTCACCAGAAAATACTTATTTACTTTCTGCATGAGGTTTGCATCAGGAGCTTTGAGCATGCTTAGGTTAATATAAGACCTCAATCCAAAAAGACCAAAACATATGCCTGCATTTTATTTTTTCCTTGATATAAAGGTCCTTTATAAACACCAAATGGGAAATCTCTGATTAGTTATTTGAAAGCAAAATAATAGATGTCAGTTTTGTGATGTGCTACAACTAACTAGATTTTTTTTTTTAAGTTGGTCAATAAAAAGCATTCAATAAACAGTGTCCTTTCAGTCAAATCTTAACACAGAAAAAAACTGGAGTGAGCTAAACAGAGGTCAAACGCAAGATGGTAAGACTTATCACAATAAAAACTCAAAACCTCTGCTGCTTCAGAGTGTGACCTGTGACCTCGGAGAGGAAAATGGTATCAAGAGCACATCCCACTAAAAGCACCTTCTAAGCTTTCACAGTTTGGAAACTCCTGGACCAGTTTCACCATCGATGAGTCACAGGACTGCTGTGCTGTAAGCCCTGGCTACTAGTCAGGGTTTAGCTGAAACGAACAAACCAAGATCAATGTTAAACAGCCCTCTGGCTTTGCCAGTTCCCGTGAACAATGAAATCCAAAGTCCTATTGGTTAAAGGTCTCTAAATTGCTTTATTTTTATGTCCTAGATATAAACCCAATCAATGCAAGCAGGAAAGAAACTCACCATGACAGACTTCTGGTGCAACTAAAAGAGAGAACTGAGCATTCTCAATCTGTGATTACTACTCCCTTTTTGTTTGATACTTTGTAATCTGAAATATAACTTTCAGTCAAGACAGAACCAGAAATTTCATCTGTTCTCTTTTGGATGATCTTATCGGGTAAGTATTTGCACAAACAAAGGTTATCTTTTAGTGTCCTCCTGCAAACAGAACCACTGATAAGACTTTGCTTTTTGCATTTGGACAAAGTATGTAGTCATGGTGCTTTGTTAGCACTAAGTAATTGCTCTGCATTTAAAGCCTGTTTATCATCAGCTTAGGTAATTTTTCTTCAATGGGTTAAATACCCTGACAGCTCTGCTAAAGCTACAGCCAATTAATCTGCCCATGCCTGACACTATAACCAAAGTACAAACGTGATAAGCAGGAGGAACTCTTCTTTCTACAATGCAATCAAAAGCAATCAAGTTTGCTGGCAGGTGGGCACAACCAAATCTCCTTTGTCCCAAAAGGCCTGTTGAAACCTAGGATGGGAGGGGAAGCTGGCACTGTGATTTCATGTGCCAGCCAGGAGTGTCTTGTTTGACCAGGTTGAGGACTGTATGACTGAGCTCTGACTCATGGGGGACGCAGATGCACCAGTCTAGCACACTGCCACCTCTCCACCCCTTTGCAGGAAGCTGCTACACCCACAGCTGGCAGAGCACCA